AAAAAAAAAAAAAAAAGTATTTATTACAATAGCAAAAGACACCCCCCAAAAAACTGTTAAGTCTATCTGCAAAGAACTAATGAAATCAAACATGGCTCATTTATATAATGGAGTATACATCGCTCCCTATGTGAGACATGGAACAATGTGGAACATATATTACGTTCAGAAGAAAAAGCCAAGGTTGGACAAAGGGTGTCCCTTGGCAGCAGAACAATTGTCTGACATGCCAGAGATCCTACTTCACAGAGTATGTATTCATATTTGGAAAAGCAATAAATATCTTTACAGGAACATACAAACTGGCACTTGTAGTTATCTCTGAGGATTGGTACTTACATAGTTGCCTCTGTAAAGACTATGGGTTGGGACAGAAAGATTACTTTTTACTTTCATATGTTCTGTGCTTCTTAAACATGTATGTATGTTTATATATAAAATATCAGCCTCCCAAGTACTATGATTACAGGCATGTGTCACCATGCCCAGTTCCTGTATTTTTAAATACACTTAAAAAGAGGCAGCTAGTTTTGTAAAGCAGCAGCTCCTGTAAATGTTGACCCCACTAATGAGGCTTTGATGAACCTAAAAGAGGGTGTAAGTCAGAACTAAGCTTACTCAACTATTCTTAGCAACTTACCTTTTGCTCTAAAACTTTCAAGACTGAAGCCCATAGTGTCCTTTAGGAAAGGTTCCAGTTTCTGAACTGAAAACTGAATTTAAAAAAGCATTTTTAGCGCAACAACCAAAAATTTCCAAGTCAGTGCTAAGTTCATGCAATTTTATGTTTAATAAATGTAAAACTAAACTGGGCATGATACATACCCATAATCCAAGGACTCTAAGAGTCGGAGACAGAATTCTTTTTTTTTTGGTACAGCCCAAACAATTTACTGAGACCCTGTCTCAAAATAAATAATAAAGTACCCAGGGATATAGCACAGTGCAAAGACCCTGTGTTCAAATGTCCAGTATTGCATACACAAACAAGTAGTGAAATTAAACATGACTTTTTTGTTCCTTTTTGGGACAGGGTCTCATTATGTCATCCACACTGGCTCTGAACTTGCTATGCAGTCAAGGCAGGCCTGAATCTGAAGATACAATCGCGTCAGGCTCACAAGTGCTGGGATTACAGGCATGGGCCACCATACCTAGTGTCACCTAAGCCTTTTCACATGAACAAATAACTAATTCAGGAAAAAAAACACTCCTTGTTGCTCAGATTATTATTTTTTTTTTCCCGGAACCAGGGATTGAACTCAGGCCCTTGCACTTGCCAAGGAAGTGCTTATTCTACTGAGCCATCTCCCCAATCCACATTTTGTTTTTTAACTGAGGAAAAAATGGCCACTTAATTCACAAATTACTTGCTCATCTAAACTGCCAAAAGCACCAGTGAATTATATAATTAACAATATAACTTTAAGAAAAACTGTATAATACAAATCATACATTGGTTTAGCCTGTAATCAGAACTCAGATATTTATCAATATTATAATAAGTCAGATTTTTTATCTTTATTCACTTTAAAGTCCCATCACTTGCTCTAAATGGGCAAAAGATACTCTATACTGGGGAAATATTAGCCAATCAGCAGCAGCAGCAATAATGGGATTGGTTTGAAGAGAACTCATTACTAAGATTAAATCTAGCTTTTTTTTTGGGGAACCAGGGATTGAACTCAGACCCTCACATTTGCCAGGCAAGCACTTACTCTACTGAGCCATCTCCCCGGCCCCTAAATCTAGCTTTTAAATTAATCTCAGCCTGAAAGAAACTTTTTTTTCTTTTAAGACAAGTTCAGGCTGCTTTGAATGCACCTCAGCCCAGGCTGGCCCCGAACTTGCAGTGATCCTCCTGCCTCAGCCTCCCAAGTACTGGGATTACAGGCATGCGCCACCATTCTTGGCAAGAAACTTTCTTCATAATGAGTTCACCTCATAGTATTGATTCCTCTGTAAATTTGCCCCATTGATAATAAAAATATCAAGTAAATAAAATAGAAACATTTTCCAATCTTAAGAATCTCACCTGGAAACTGGAAAGCAGGAGAGCTCCAAGCCGCTTGCTTTCTCCTAAGTCAACACTGATGGACCTGCTGAGCTCTAACATAAGATATGACCACATGTAAGGAACTGTTTACTTACCCAGCAAAGTAACAAATCTGAAAATTCTTCTCCGTTGATGCAATCCAACTGAAGGCAAGAAATAGCCTTTTAAATTTTTTTTTCTTTTTTTGGTGGCTGGCTCAGCCCAGGTGGGGCCGGCACAGTGTGGTGCCAGGGATTGAACCGTGGTCCTATGCTTTGCCTAAGCTTGCCTAAGCAGGCGCTTTAGACCACTGAGCTATCTCACTGGCTCTCTAGCCTTTTCTAATTAAAGGGAACATTCTAATTTTTCCAGGACCACCAAAGAATATTATTTGCACATCTGAACACAATGCTATGAGAATCTCTCTCTCTCTCTCTTTTTTAATGTACTTAGTACAGGGTCTTCAGGGTTTCACTACGTAGATTGGACTCGTAGTGATCCTCCTGTTTACAGCTTCCCAAGGGCTAGGATTCACACACACGCCTCTGTGCCCAGTCCCAATCGCCCCTCTGAGCGTGCTCTGGGGGCGGGGCCAGCATGGCAGGCCCAGGGATTGAACCCAGGCCCCTGTGTTCTGCCTAAACAGGCACTTTAATTCACTGAGCTATTTGGCCGGCCCTGAGAATCTCTTTTACACATTACACTAAAACCTTGTTGGCCAGGCATGGTGCTACACACCAGTAACCGCAGCACTTGATACGCTGAGGCAGGAGGATTGCCACAAATTCAAGGCCAGCCTGTGCTACATACATAGTGAGTTCAACTGCCTGAACTACATGGAAAAACCCTGTCTCAAGAAAGACCGAAAAACAAAAAACCCAAACAGGTGAGTTTTTATTTGTTTTTTGAGACAGGGTCTTACTATGCAGTTTAGGCTGGCCTTGAATTCACTTTGTAGCCCAGGCTGGCCTCAAACTCACAGCAATCCTACTGTGTCAGCCTCCCAAGTGCTGGGATTACAGGAGTGCACCACCACACCCAGCTAAAACTTTAATTAAACAAGGTAGATTAAAAATGATTCAGCTAGCACCAGGCGTGGTGTACCTGTTGAACACTTATTCTGTACGTCATTTTCTTAAACTCTATACATATTCCATTAAACTTTAAGGCAGGGGGCCTGGCCCTAGCTCAGGCCTTTAAGTGGCTGCTTCCACAAAGCTGTCAGCCTCAGGTTGCTGGAGTTCGAACCTCACACCTCTCCCGCTGGCCAAAAGTGCCCTGAATGCATTCGAGCAACAACAACAAAAAAAAATCCTTATTAGGGGCTGGAGAGATGGCTCAGTGGTCTAAAGCACCTACTTGAAACAAGCTTGGCAAAGCATAGGGACCGCGGTTCGATCCCCAGCACCACATGCCAGCCAGCCCCGCCCCCTGGTGGGCTGAGCTGGCCACACACACACACAATAAATAAATGTAATAAATAAAAATAAATAAATATAAAAAAAAAAAAAAAACTTTAAGGCAATCATTTTATTTGAAGCCCGGTAAGACTGAGAAGCAAAGGCTGGGCAACAGGACCATTCAGCAAATTACAAGGCTGAATTGGGCGAGCATCTTATATAATTAGTGGTAACTAAACCCCGAAACAAGATGTAGATATTGCTTTTTAATTATGTCTATTTAAAACCAATTATTATCCAGCAAAGGTGGTTTGCTTTTAAAATTTTTTTTTTTTGCTTTTAAAATTATTAGAGCTATCTCTCTTTTTGATCACAATCTTCTACTGGCTGTTTCTAAAGCTCTTATCTTCCCTCTTAATTCTTCTTGTTCTCAGCCAAGAAAAACAGGATTCTGCCTGCTATAACCAGGAAAACTTGGCAGGTGGCCAGGAATATTGAGAAAATAACCCATCTTTTCTTTTTGAGACAGGGTCTTGCTATGTAAGAGTTCAAGGCTGGCCTTGAATTCACTATGCAACTCAGGCTAGTTTCAAACTCTTAGTGATCCTCCTGACTCTGCCTCCTGAGTGCTGGGTTTATAGATATGTGCCACCACGCCTGGCTTAGATTCTGTACTTTGATACTGAGATATAGTTATGACTGTAAATCTACACAAAATCATAGGAATCAAGGGCCAGACATAGTGGTGCATGTCACGAGTTCAAAGCCAGCAAGACACTGTTACACACACACACATACACACACAATCGTATTTAAATATGATATCCCTTAAAGCATTTGCTTAGGCAGATGCAGGGGCCTGGTGCTTAATCCCTGACCTGCAGTGCTGGCCCCATCCCTGGACCATGCTGAGACCTCAAATGAGACAGCATAGTGGCGTGCACTTGTAATCCCAGCACTTGGAAGACTGAAAAACAGGAAGGATCACTACAAATCCAATCTGGGTAGTGAGACCCTGTACTAAATACATTAAATAAATAAATAAATATGATAGCCCTAAAAACTGCATTTTCAACCAGGTGTGATGGTACACACCTGTAAGCCTGGCACTCTGAGTCTGAAGCAGGAAGATCACAAGTTCTACCTCAGCCTGGATAATTTGTTGACTCACTGAGACCCTGTTTCAAAATAAAAAACAAAGAAGGGCTTATGACGTAGCTTATTATGAAGATCCAGGGCTAAATCTCCAACACTATAAAAAGATACAAAAAAAAAAAAAAAAGATACAACAAAAAATCCCTGTTTTCATGATTTTTTTTTTTAATGTTGTTTTAGTATTTAACTTAGGATCTCACACATACTAAATACACACTCTACCACTTGGCAACACCCAACTTCTCCACTCTAGATATTTTTATGTGCAACTTCCCTGAGTTATTCCCAGTTATAAAGACTGTTTCCTATGGGCTGGGGAGATGGCTCAGTGGAATAAGCACTTCCCTGGCAAGCACAAGGGCCTGAGTTCAATCCCCGGTTCCACCAAAAAAAAAAAAAAAAAAAGACTGTTTGCTAGCATCATGAGTGTGTGCACACAAATACAAATATACACACACACACACATGCACGCACAAAGCAAAAGGCTAAAATCAGCTATTAACCTGTTCACTTTCTGTTCTACCTTACAGTATGAGCAGAAAGCCACAGGACAGACTCTTTAATCCCAATTATACTAGCCAGCACTGAAGTGCTGAACAAATTAGCAACCAGAATTTCTTTTCATAGCAGCTAATATAAATGTAACAGGAATAATACTAAGTACTTCTTAGGTGTGTGATAGCAGAGCTTATAAATGCAGAATTACCCCCAAGTGGCCGATAATACTATCTCTTTTTTTTTTTTCCTCTTTTTTTCTGTTTTGTTGTTGTTGTTGTTGCGGTACCAGGGATCAAACTCAAGACCTTGCACTTGTCAGGCAAGTGTTTATGCTGCTGCGCTATCTCCCCGGCCCATTAGCTCCACTTCACGGGTGAAGAAACTAAGGCTCTAAGAGGTGAAAAGATCTGTTCAAAATCACATAGATAAAAAACAGCAAAGTCACACAATTCCACTACACTGTCATTCCTCACTGCCTCGTACATGTATGCTGGAACCCGTCCGTCTTACAGAGACAGCACCCCACCTGTGATGCCCTGGTGAAAAGGTGGCAATGACTTCCGTCGGTTTATTTCTTTCATACTTGCCCGTCGCCAGGACTGCCTCTTGTCTTGATGACGGACAGGATATTCTTGAGGGGACAAATGAAGGGACCTGGATTGAAGTCCTTCCTGGTGGCTGACATCACAATGTCCTCTTTCAGGGGTGGAGGCAAGATGATTTTTTTCCTTTGAAGTGCCTTCAGTCATTACCAGGGAGGCAGATGCTTTAGTAAATACTTCTACAGGGTGGAGACTTGATTGCAACTGATGATCATGAGTCTTAGAAGTCACTGATTCTGCTTCTGGCAGTTGTTATAAAAAAAGTCAAAATATAAAATCAAACCCACAACTAAGTATCTAAGCAAAAAGATGAAAAAAAGGGCAAGGAATGTAGCTCAATGACAGAGCACTCGCCCACCATTCATAAGGCCCTGGGTTCAATCCACAGAACTAGCAAAAAGAACAGAGAAAAAAGTTATGTCCCCATGAAGTGGCATGCACCTGTAATCTCAGCTTCTTGGGAGCCTGAGACAGGAAGACAGATTGAACCCAGGAGTCTGAGGCCAGCCTGTGCAACAGAGCAAGCAAGATCCCACTGAAAGAAAGGAGAAAAGGAAGGAAGAAGAAACACCAAGAAAATATTTCTATTTGAAAAAAAAAAAAAAAAAAAAAGAAGAAGAAAGTATTTCTATAAATACGTGAGTTTGCCATTTCAAATCCAGCAGAGCCAGGAAAGGATTTAGTTGCAGCGTGTTAAGACTGAACTCAAGACAAGAGGTACTGGATTTCACTGTAATACTCACCTTCTATATTCTCTGTGGTGATGGAAGTCATTCTGGATAGAGAACCCTGAAAATAGGAAAATAAAGTCATCTGTTTAAATATCGGTTCTAGCCTCACTGTGGTGTAACACTCCCACAATAGCCTCTGTACTTTCCAGCCTCTCTAAATAGCTCTCTCTTCCTCCACAAAGACTATAGCAGGGCTTCCTTTCTGAGGGTGGCGGCAAGCAAAAAGGGAGCGCCAAGAAGGCCTCAGGCACACTCTGCTGCCTACCTACCCCAGTGCTGCATGCTGCCTCTCTACCACATGCAGATTTTCACACCCAACCATGTCATCACCAAGTCCCGTTTCTGGTACTTGTGTCTCAGCTGAAGAAAATCTTCAGAGGAGATCATCTACTGTGGGCAGGTGTTTGATAAGTCTCCGCTGTGAGTGAAGAACTTTGGCATCTGGCTGCACTATGACTCCTGCAATGGCACCCACAACATATATCAGGAATACTGGAACCTGACCACAGCAGGCATTGTCACCCAGTACTACCAGGACACGGGTGTCTGGCACTGAGCCCACGCCCACTTCATCGCAGCCAGCAAGTGCCACCTGTCCGCTGACAAGCAGTTTCATGACTCTTTTTTTTTTTTGTGGAACCGGGGATTGAACTCAGGCCCTTGCGCTTGCCAGGGAAGCACTTATTCCACTGAGCCATCTCCCCGGCCCACCATGACTTTTTTTTTTAAAAAGATATATTTTCATTTATTTATTTATTTTGTGTCTGTGCATGGCCAGCTCAGCCCACCAGGGGGCGGGGCTGGCTGGCATATGGTGCTGGGGGATTGAACCACCGTCCCTGTGCTTTGCTCATGGGCTGAGCTGGCCATGCACAGACACAAAATAAATAAATAAACAAAAAAAAGATCAAGTTCCCAATGCTTCCTGCTGCCCCACCAGGTCCTGCATTGCCAGCACAAGCCCCACTTCACCACCAAGAGGCCCAATACCTTCTTCTAGAGGCAGTGCCAAAAAATCTGACACTGCTCTGCAAAACAAATAAACAAACTATAGCAGGGGTCATTGCCCCTATTCTGAGTTTCTACAGAACTCACTGCTGGAAATCCATCTCTCTTAATCATAACCTCTCTCCCAATTATTTTGTACTTTACTATTTCCTCTTCCCCTAATGCAGTTGGTGGCATTAGGATGCACTTGGTTTTCCATATGAGGAAAAACACATTATTCTTAATTTTTTATGCTTTACCTCTTCCAATCCCAATCCTATCTATTCTACCAAATTTGTCTCAATTTTTCTTCCATTCCCACTATTTATTTATTTATTTATTTATTTTTTCCGCAGAACCGGGGATTGAACTCAGGCCCTTGCACTTGCCAGGGACACGCTTCTTCTACGGAGCCATTTCCCCAGCCCCTCCCACTGTTAGTAATTTAATCCATGTTTCATAATTTTTGCTCTCTCCTGGCCCCTGATCAGCTTCCCTACTGGTTTTTCTATATTCAAGACTGCTCCAGTCCAATCCATTCTCTAGACAGCTGCAGAGATTTTTCCAGTGTACTCAACACGTTCATGAAGGAATACCAGCCTACCATTGCAGGCTCTTTCCTGCCATTTGCATTTTCTGTATCACTTTCAAGCCTTTGTACATATCTGTCCTACTTGCAAAACATATGCATCCTCCCTAATCTAGCTTAAATAGTTCACTTGGGGTTGGGAATTTGGCTCAGCAGTAGAATGCTTGCCTAGCAAGCTAGAAGCCCTGGGTTCAGTCCTCAGCACAAAAATAAATAAATAAATCAACGCTCCCCCAAAAACAACACAATATTTTTTTTTTTTTTTAAAAAGACCAAAAACAAACGAAGCAGCTTAAGTACTTCTCTGTCAGATTTGGTGGTCACACAAAATACTAGCACATCCTAATACTAGCTGTGATATCTTTTTTTTTTTTTTTTTTTTTCGGAACTGGAGACTGAACTCAGACACCCTTGCGCTTGCCAGGCAAGCGCTTATTCCACGGGGCCATCTCCCCGGCCCCGTGATATCTGTTTACATATCCTTCTCCCAAGCACACTGCATTTGTGTTCCCAAGGGCTGTCAGATAACTAACTTGAAGAAGGTGGGCACACAGCCAAGTAATCTTCATCTTCCATAAGAATGCACAGACGTTTAGGGACAACACAAAAGTAAAAAGAACAAAGACGGGTTCTTCAAGGATATAAAACCCCATAAAGGGGCCGGGGAGATGGCTCAGTAGGATAAGCGCTTGACTGGCAAACGCAAGGATCTAAATTCAATCCCCAGTTCCGCCAAAAAACAAAACAAAACAAAACAAAACAAAACACCCATAATACTTATGGCAGTAACACAGATTCAAGTTTGGATAATAACTCCAATATTGTCACTCGAGTAAGTATTTCCCCAAGACCTATGCCACTGAAGCGTTTTATTCACATCCTTATCCCATGTAATTCTTTGCATAACTCTAAGCACTATTACACATTCCACTCTGCAGAGGCCCCGCGATTCAGAGGGGGAGCAAAAACGCCCGGGCCACACCCACGCCCGGGGGAAGGTCTCCGATACCCCCCCCCGCCCGAGGGCCTGCGGTCTGGAGCAGCGATCGCAGTGGGCTGGGCCGGGCCGGGCCGAGACGAGACGCTCGCGAGGGGATGAGCGCGGAACCACATCCCGCGAGGAGTACGCGACTTTCTGACCTCAGAGCGACGCCGGTTCAGCCCGGAGCCTCTGTTCCAGATATTGAAAGTCCCAGTTCCCTTCTGCACCTCCTGCGGACCTATGGGGCCTCTCAGGTGTCAGCCTAGCGAGCACCTCTCGGTACGCTTCAACGCCGCCATTTGCAAAACTCCCGCCAACCAATGGCGCATGCGCATCCCCAGCGGCCTTCGGCGCGCGCGCGCACAACGCCTGGCTCCAGCCGGGCGCATGCGTACACGGTGTTCGGCGCTCCCGGACGCCTCGCTATTTTCTTTCGCAGGGAATCCCCGCGGGCGTGGCAGCGCCTCCCCGGGCACAGCCGGTGCGGGAGTCCGCGGCTTGGCCCTGCACTCTGTGGTGCGTCCTCTTTGCGTTCCACAAGCTCTGGTGCCCATAGCTGATGGAGAAACAGTGGTTCTGAGGTTCTTGTGGAAAGAATATAGTGCCTCAGAGGGCGTCTGATGCGCTGCACTCGTTACTAAGCCCTGGTCCCGCTCCCTTTTATCTCCTAAAGAGCGGTCCATGACTCTTGGATAAATTAGAGCTCTGACTCCGGGGGCTCCTTCTGGGGCTCCTCAACGTGACGAAACGCTCCTGCCCTCCCTGTCAACAGGCCACCCCGCCCTAAACTTCTTGCAGCTCCGCCCATCCCGCTTTGTTGCTTCCTTTGGCTCCCTCCTTAAAACGGTATCTTTTACTAGGGAAGCCTTTCCCAGCTCTTCCTACCAAAACTCCCCAAGTTTAAGTCTCAACTAGAGAATTATCTCAAAACCTTCTCTGTGGCCCCCTGCTGAAAACCAGATGTCCTTTCTGTGCTCTCAGGAGTGCAACACATGCCTGTGCCCTGAGGGCCCAGAAAGCAGGCCGCGTCCTTAACATCCAGGGTGATGCCACGAAAATGTCCCCTTGGGTTACAGAACGTAGGACGTGGGCAAAGTTGGCTGGGAAAACAAATGGGACCCGTCAATTACATAATCTAGGATAGCACCAAATAATTCCCAGGACCCTTACGTGAAATTTCTCCCGTGTTCCCACGAGATGTGGAAGGAAAAGGAGGACACAAAATACCAGTGGGAACCTCCTATTGTGACTTCATGGCCCACACAGAGTGCGCTTTTGTTTTTGCTTCATCATCCTTTCGCTAGTTTTCCCCTTACCCCTTACTTTTCAAATAAACTTTTGGCACCTTTGTGGCTTGTCTCATCCAATTATTTGTTTTTTTTTTTTAATTTTATTTATGCGTGTGTGTGTGTGTGTGTGTGTGTGTGTGTGTGTGGACAGCTCAGCCCACTAGGGGGCGGGGCAGGCTGGCATGCGGTGCTGGGGGAATCGAACCGCGGTCCCTGTGCTTTGCTAAGCTTGTTCTAAATAGGTGCTTTAGACCACTGAGCCATCTCACCAGCCCCAGGGTCTTTTTGTTTTTTGAGACAGGGTCTTGCTTTGTAGTTCAGGCTGGATTTGAACTCGCTGTGTAGTCCTTGAACTTGCATGATTCCCCTGCCTCAGCCTGTCCTATAGGCATGCGGCACCACACTTGACCTGTGGAGGACCACCATGTCGCCCTCCCCCATAGCCAAGTATGCTTGTTTTTACTTGCAAGCAGTGCGGGCAGTATCCAGGCAACTTCCCTACAATGGCTTTCAGTTCAATTAGTAAGTCTAGCTGAGATTGTGCACCAACTTTCAGGAAAGCAGGCAGCTGATGATGAGCTATTATTGTTTATCACTGACAGCCATGGCTGAGCTCAGATAGACAAGCTGTTATACCACAGGGCTGAAATATGAGATAACATCTCTGTTGAGGCCCGCATGCCTCCAGAGGAAAACTCCTTCCCAGAATTGGCTACAAAGTACATTGCTTATCAACCATCACCTAAATCTGGCTGTTCTTGTCCTTTGAGCAAGAATGCTTTGCTCTCTTAGATATAAGCCTTGCCCACCTCCTTACTGGTCTAGCACATCCAGCAGCGACACCCCTCACCATTTTCCTCAATGAATAAATAGCAAGGTTCTGGGTGTTTCACAGCCTCTTGTTCTCAGATCCCTGAGGCACCCCTATTTTGTCTCTTGCTCTTTCTTCCTGCCATGTTGTATAACTCCAGGCAGGAGACTGAAGTCCACTGCAGAGGTCTCCAACACCAGCCATCAGTGGATTTGGTCTTGATCTTGTTTTTCTTGGTTCTGGCTTCCTGCTATCTATGTAGAATACACAGTCTTTGAAGGCTGAGTATATTTGAAAACTGATCTACTTTTTTTTTCCATAATTTTATTGAGAAACAAATAGCAATGAGACAGTTTCAAACCAAATTGGTAGGACAGTTTCAATAATTAACACATTGCATACATTCTTCCTAGTGGTTAATTGCTGTACAAGCTGATCTACTTTTTAACTACCACTTTTCCAGTTTGTCTGTTAACCCAAAGACTGAGGGCAGGCAAAGATACAGCTTAGCAGCACGAGCACCTGTGTGGCCAAGTGCAAGGTCCTGAGTCTGATTCCTGGTACCAAAAAAAAAAAAAAAGACAGGGTAAACCGAGTTGTCTCACTACTGAGGACTGAACCCAGCACCTTGAATGTTAGACAGATGTTCTAGTACTGGGCTGCATTCTCATTCCTATTTATTTACTTCATTTATTATTGTACTAGAGAATAAACCCAGAGCCTTAATACTGAAATACAGGGGGCTGGGGAGATGGCTCAGTAGAATAAGCGCTTGCCCGGCAAGCACAAGGGCCTGAGTTCAATCCCCAGTTCCACCAAAAAAACAAAAACAAAAACAAAAAAACTGAATACAACCTCAGCTTTTAATTTTTTTTTTTTAACTTTGAGAGAGTTTTACTAAAAGGCTATGCTCAAACTTAAAGCTTCCTGCCTTAGCCTCCCAGGATGCTGGAGTTATGGGCATTTGCCACCACATCTGGCAGATACGCAACTTGCTAGGCATGTGGATAAGCCACCTCGCAAGTGGCTCTTCCAGCCCTAGTCTGGCTTTCAGAAAACTACAGCCAGAACTGATGTGTAGCTCAGTCATCGAGCATTTGCCTAGCATGTGTGAGCTCTGAGTTCCATCCCCAGTGCGCGCGCACACACACACACACTACAGCCAGGCATGGTAACACATGCCTGAAATCCCAGCACCAGGAGGCTGAGGAGGAGGATCACTTTGAGCTTAACACCAGCTTTGGGTACATAGTGAAGATAAGGCCATTCTAAACTATGCAGTGAAACCATCTCAAAACAAACAAACAAACAAACAAACAAACAAACAAAAAATGCTGCAGCCTAACTGATGTTGAACAACTTTCAGAGACCTGGAATCAGAACTACCCAGCTCCTGAACTGCTGAGCTGTAGGATGTAAATGTTTTGGTATAGTTAATTTACCATGAAATGTTGAGTGTCTTCTTTTTCCAGAATGAATTTTCTTTTGTAGAAAGACTTTACCCTATTTTTTTTCTTGAATACTTTATTTCTCAGGGGTGGTAACATACTTTGTGGGAGACACTGAGTTACGAGTAGTTGGGAGCCAGAGTATCTGAGGGTTCCTGCCAAGTGACCCCCAAACCTGCCAGTTGGCAGTGGCAGTCCCCTCTTCCCAAGCAACAGCAGGTGAGATGGAGTGAAGTTTCAGATCTGTTAGCAAAATCAGAGAGGAGGCCAAGTCCACAGCAACTGTTCATATGACATACTTTATTTCCAATCTACAACCATTAAAAACGCTTTGTAAGTTTACACTGTACAGTTATTCTCATGTCAAAATAAGACACAGGGCAGGGAGAGCTGGTGGATTGGACTGCAGTAGTCCTAGCACCCAATCCATCCTGGGAAGGAGCCTTTTGAAGACAGAAGTGAGGAGGAGCAAACAGCATAAAGAGGGGGACAGTTGGCCCAAGGATGCCCTTGGTCCCTTCCCTCCCGAGGGTCTTTCTCCCTGGGGGCCCCAGGGCCCACGACGACAAGACCCTCACCAGGAAACCAGGCTGAGCAGGAAGGGGGCTTCACAGTATTGGTGGGGATGGGGAAGGGGTAATGGGGGCAGCTTCTGGCTCTCTTCCCCAGGGGCTGGGGGCTAGAGTTTTTTGGCACTGTCTACAAGTTCTTACTGGGGTAGGGAGGAGGGGGAAGGGGAAGAGGAAGAGGAAGGAAAGGAAAGGAAGCAGAAGGAGACTCAGGTTCTCTTCTTGTGGAGCTGGGTTTCTTTCCATTTCAAGAGAAGCCACCTGGCCTACGGTGAGGTTCCCAAGGGACAAACAGGGGTCTTCGCCTCCTGCCTCCCCAGGACTCCCACTCTTGCTTACTGCCAACACCTACACAGCCTTCTGGAAAAACCCAGACTGGCGGGATGGGTGAATGGAGCTTGAACCCAACCAGCGGCAGAAAAAGAAAAACGAACTGTGCTCTCTAGCTTCCAGGAAGAGGAGACACAAGAGGGTTGGTGTTTTTTTGGAGGGGTCTGCAATCTCCTCAGTCCAGATGAAGTGTTTCCCACTGTTCCTGGCCAGCCACAACCCCTCCCAAGGCTACACTGGGAGGAATCCAGTTGGTCAACTTGTGTATAGCAGAGTGACCTGGAGGGCTCTGTCAAACCCTAGCTTGTGGGTCAGGAATGTAGCTCAGCAGCACAGCATCTGCCTGGCTAATGCAGTCTTGAGTTTCATTCCTGGCACCAAAAAACCCTAGCTTGCTGGCCACTGGCTCCAGAAGTTCTAATCCAGTGGATCTTGGGCAGGGCTGGTAATCTACACTTCCATCAGGTTCTCTGCTTCTTCTGCTGGGACACAATCTGAAAACTACTCATCTAGAATGGTGTCCCTAAGTCACCTCATCCTCATCCTCAGCAACCTGGTTCAACCAGCCAGAGCCATGCTGGCAACAGCCAGCCTTATAGGCACCAAAGGATCTAAAAAGCTACTGGGAACGGTCTTGTGGTGAGCGCCCCCCTGTGCGGAGAAGTAAACTAAGGCACAGAGATTGGTGGCACAGCTGAGAGAGGAACCGGGATGCTAAGGCCTGCTAGAAAAAGGATGGGGCTGTAGGACCCCAAAATATGAGGGATGCTCTGGGGCCCATAGGGTCATCCTGGTACTCCTCAGAGAACTATAAAATTGGGAGGGCCGGAGCCAAGGTCAGCCAAGAACAGGGTCAGACTGCTAGTTGAGGTTCCTTTCCATAGGCGTAGCTTGAGAATGGGGTATGCCAAGGCAGTCTGTCCCTGACTGCCTAGCCCATCCAGGATGTTCAGAGGAAATCAAAGCCCCTTTTGTTGGGGTCTGGTGTCGAGAGAGCTGGTGCAGGGCAGAAAGGAAGAGGAGCAGAGCCAATGGGACTCCGCAAGGGGAAAAGGAGGGTCTCTGGATGGAAAGGATGGAGTGGACCAGGTAGGTGGTGAAGGCCTGAGGAAGGATCTGGGCCCAGAACTGTCTTCCATCCCCTGCTGATGTTGGGCCTGGGTATTTTGCAAAGTATTGTTGGCTTGGAAGGCAAGGGCCGAAGGAAATAGAAAAGATGCTTAGATGGTGGGACGGGTGACTGAGAAAGAGTGCCCAAGTCAGCCCACACCTGCTTTATAACTAAGGCCATGTAGGGGCAGAGAAGGCAGAGGAGGCTGGAAGAGGAAATCCAAGCTCATGTCCACCATACTCTTCCTCAGTGGAAGGTGCTAGGGTGCAGCTTGGAGGTTATGGACAGAAAAGACAGTAGGGTCGAGTGTGGGGCTGAGGGATGTCTTTCTGCCCTGGGAGGTGCTGGGGGGTACAAATCCTAAGGGAAGGGCTGGCAAAGCTGTGCTGCCTGATATATCTGGGAAAGAGCCCATCTGGTGTGAGAAAACTAAAAAAATAAATACCCAGGGAAGGCAGGACGCCAGAAGCCTGGGGCATGTCCCCACTGTGAGCCTACAAGGGAGGTGTGTGCTGCTGAGGTTGCAGAAAAATCCGCCCAAGGGGCACTGCCAGTGGGGAGGATGTTGTGGGTGGGCTGGGGGCTGGGGCTATAATAAGCCTGGGGTCTAGAAAAAGAAAACCTAGCCATGGGGTGGCCCATCTGCTGACAGGAACCAGCTAAGTAGAAGATGAGGCAGAGCAAGGCATGCTGGCACTTGCCTATAATCCTAACACTCTGGAAGGCTGAGGCAGGAAGAGCCCCAAATTTGAGCCCAAACTGAGTAACTCAGTAAGAGCATATCTCAAAATAAAAAAAGGGATGGGGATGCAGCTCAGTATGAAGGCCCTGATTTCAATTCTCAATACCCCTCCCAAAGCTAGCAACACAGGATAAAAGCTATCACACTCTATTTCCCATGACAAGATGATGAAAATTATAAAATCCTGATTGTTTCCTTCCTTCCTTCCTTTTTTCCATGGCTTCTAGGAAATAAGAGGGAAAAATTTTTTCACTACTGTGGCTTGAACCACAACCCAATGCTTATTTTTTTTGAAACAGGGTCTCATTAAATTGCCCCAGCTAGGCTCATATTTATGACCCTCCGGTCTCAGCCTCCTGAGTATTTGGGATTACAGATGTGCAACATCTTGCTCAGTTAAGAGTGAAGTTTAGGGCCGGGGAGATGGCTCAGTGGAATAAGCGCTTCCCTGGCAAGTGCAAGGGCCTGAGTTCAATCCCCGGCTCCACAAAAAGAGTGAAGTTTAGGGCTAGGGAGATAGCTCAGTGGCATAAGTGCCTGCCTGGCAAGCATAAGGTCCTGAGTTCAATCCCTGGTACTGGCGGAAGGAGGGGTGAAATTTAATTGCATGACCACAAGAATTAAAATAGATAGATATGAATAATCATCATCTTGGTTTTTGTGATTTTCTACTTTTTGCATTTTTCTATTCTTATTAAACATACATGACAGAAATTACAGATTGCCTCTGATGATTCTTGGAAATCCTCAGAGTAATTAGATAAAAATTAAGCTTGGTTGAGGTATACAATGCTCTTTTTAAAGATATAGCATTGTGTAGCTAGGTATGGTGGTGCCCACCTATAACCCTAGCACTCTGGGAGGCTGAGACAGGAGGATCACAAGTTCAAGCCCAGCTCGGGCAACTTAATGAGAATGTCTCAAAATAAAGAATGAAAAAGTTGTGGGGACATAGCTCAGTGCAGAGGTCCTGGAGACAGAATGGACGAATGAAGTTGTCCTGCCAAGCCTGCTTCCTAGAATTGTCCTCGGGAGACATGGAGGGGATGGGGAATGGGGGGTGATCTCTGAACAGTAAAGTGCTCGGGGCAGGATGTATAGGGGATTATCATCACCATTACTATTATTAAAGAAGAGGTAGTGGGAACTTGGGGGCTGATAAGGCTGGAGGGGAGAACATCCTGGGTGGGTGGGGAGAGGGAAGGAAAGTCTGGGGTTACATAGGCAAGAGGAGAAGCTGAGGGATAAATCCTCAGAAGGGCATCAAGGTACAAGGTCAGGGTCAATCAAGTCTTTGAGCCCTCAGCTTTGCGACCTGGGGGCCAGATGGTGGAATATCCCAAGGGCAGCCAAGGGATGGAGCCCATTTTGACTTCATAAAGCACAGGACTTCTTGTGGGTCTACCTTAGTTGGCAAAAGGATCAGGAGAAAGGGAGAAAACCGGCAGCAACAGAAATTGGCTTCTGATGCCTTGGGCATCAAGAGTCATGGATGCACTTTAGTTGATTTTCATTTCAAATACAGTCACTATTGCACCCAGGAGGGCTTCATTTGACTCAGGGAAGAAGTCAGGCATAAAAAATGTGAAGTCATTGAGTGTAGGGGCAATCATGCAAAGCGTTCTCCTCTTTCTCCAACCAACCGATGCCAACCCATGGACCCAAGCCAGGCAGTCGGTAGGGGAGAGGGATCCCAGGGTTCCTTGGGACTTTGGTTGCAGAGAGGGATGGGAAAAAGAAGATGATTAGGGGAGAAGTTAGAAGGTGTCGGAATAAAAAGGTACAAGTAGGAAGAGAAAGAAGGGCAGCATTCCGTGTTGGGACCCCCCAGGGCTCTGGGTGAGTCCTCACTGTGGGTCAGGCAGTTTCTGCTTTGGGAATGTTACCAAGACGTAAAAGGCATTTGAAAAAACAAACTTAGAAATCACATTCCAAAAGAGTAGAGAGTTTTTACAAACCAACCCTCCCACCCCAAGAAAGAAAACACAACCAGTTACCAAGTAAAATGCTAAAAATTAAAACCAAACCAATATTTACACATAACATTTTCAAAACCCCATCGAGCCCCATGTCCAGAGGCTTCTCCAGGAACAGTGACAAATGGCCTTGCACAGTGGCATGCAAGGAGAAACTGGTACTTCACTGAAAACCAAGACTTGGGCCCTCCAACAGCCATTGGGGCCAGATGCTGTGACGACAAAGACAGCATGACAATCTCAGATGAAGACGATGGTAAGGCTGAGTGGCCCTTAGGGTTTGGTCTCATGGGGACTTTCCCCCAAGGCTGAGAGTGCAGCCTCCCGGGCCTTCTGCAGCTCTGGGAGGTGGCAGAAGGCCTCTTGTGGTTTTGTGGCCTGGTGTGAATCCCCTCACCTGGAGACAGATGTGGAGAGGCCCCTGACCTCTTGGGTGGCAGTGGGAGTACCGTCGAGGAGTACTAGCCACTGTTCTGCCCACACCAAGTCACTAGAGTAGGAAGCTGGCAGGACTGACATGACCCCGATGTGCAGCCCACAAGAAATGAGGACAACAGACTCTGGGAATCTAGTCCAGATGCCCCTGACAGGGTATGCTAGGAATGGGGCAGTGGGAGCACAAGCCATCTTGTGTGTCCTGGGGATAAACTAACAATGCTGTTGGCTTTCAGCCTTTCTGAAAGGGACTTCTGCAGACAAGCCTATCCATCCTGGGATGGGATACTTGGTCCCAGCAGCGGCAGGAGGAGGGCGCATCTGTGTGTTGGCAGAGAGGAGGTGGACACTGTGCAATCAAATGGGCTCATCAGCACCAAGGAGGAGGGCATCTGAGCCACATTTCAATCCATTGGACGGCATTGGTGGCTTCCACAGGTGTGGGAATGGGCGGTGGAGTTGGGGCTGGGAGAAGTCATGAGAGGCCATAAGGCTAAGGAGACAGGCTGGTGAAAAGGCTGGCGGGCTGGCAGACACTCTCAGATCTGTGTGCAAAGCTGCAATAAACGACATTCTCAAAATTCATCCTATTTTCCTGCCTGTTCTCATTTAGGGAACTTGGAGGGATTGCCACACTCTAAATGGAGCCGTGGTAATCTGTGATTCTTGGAGGAAGGTGTCAGAGGAGCGAGGAAAATGAGAAGGAAAATGGAGGATGTCTGGGGAGTGGAGACATCAGTCTGGCCAGCCACGCTGTCAAGCACACTTAGACACTGACCTCTAGGGGCCAGGCAAGTACCAGGTACTAAGTGAAAGAAGTATGCCAAGGCTGAATGGTCAGTGGAGTAGAAGAGCAAACTGCAGGTCCCAGCCCTGGGGAGGGGCCCCTAAACTTGCCAGAAGACCAGAGCTTGGTGGCTGAGCTGCTTCATCCACATGGGGGGACCCCATGCCTGTCCACAAACTTAGGAGCCCCACACTGTCCCAGTGGTAAGAATATATATCTCAACCTCCAATAAATTACCTTAGGGGCTTTTGGGTAAATTAAATTATTAAAATAAACCACCTTAAATATTTATAATACGAAAAATTCAAATAAACAATCTAGGCAAAACATGTGTTTCCTTGCCCCAGTCTGCTACTGTGTCCTGGGACACTGACTTCTCAGAGTTCATGGCCTGACCTGACCAACTGCAAGTCTTGTACTGGGAGTATGTCCGCCTCGACTAGCTGCAGGATGTAAACACACAGTGGAGATGCGGTGCCCCTTTAGGACACCAGGGAAAGAGGCCCCAGAGATCAAGGCATGGGCACGGAGGCTTTTATCTATGCACCAGGGCTTCGGAGTGATTCTGCCTGTTTCTGGCCTCACCAAGTCTCCTAGGAAGGTTAGGTTCCCCCAAGACACCTTGGCAAGTGAGGCAATTCCCTACATATCCCCGCCGTGTCTCCCAGTTTGGGCTGCATCCAGGTACAGGCAGGAGGATCCAGGGCTCCAGGATTCCAAGTAGGTATTTGGCCCTGACTACTGCCCTTTCATACCCACTAGAGTCCAGCAACCTGAGGCAGCACTGATGGTGGTGGAGGCTATGGTGGTGATGCCCAGCCGTACTCTGTCAAGCACACCAAGCTGGGTCCAAGAGCAAAGCCTACTCTTCTCTGTGACATCTTTCCAGGGAAGGGGCGCAGTCAGCGGTGAAGCCCCAGTGAGCCCCTTCTCCCCAGGCATGGAAGTGTATCCTTTCCTGGGCTCATCCAAGAAATGGGTAAAGTTGGAAGCAGACAAAGGTGTCCTTTAGGACCAGGGATGGGTCCTGTTGAGCTCCCTGTAGAAACTTCCAAGGCCCAGCTGAGGTCTTTCTCCCCGCTCACGGTCTTCCCCTGGGAAGGCAGAGGCCACCACCCAGTGGTCAGCCCGAGACTTGAGACCCTGCTTTACCTTGATACAAAAGCTCTTCGCTGGCAGTGGCACAGCTGCTGTCCCTCCAGGGAGCTGCGCTGCTGAAGGCATGGATGGCCCCTCACCTCCTCTCCGCTGTTCCCTCCTGCCATCTGGGGACTGGGCGGCCTGAGGCGGGGGCTCAGATATTGTCACTCGCTGGGGGGGGCCGCCCTCTCCTCCCCTCCCCAACCAGACTCAGAAGGGTGCAGCCTGCACTTGGAAGGAGAGTGGCGGATGGCAGAGCGGGATGGCCGGGCGAAGCAGGAGGTGAGAGGCTGCGTGCTACAGTCACAGACGGCATCCTAGGAGGAGGGAGGAAGAAGTCAGGAGAAGCCGGGAGGAACAGACTGGACCACCCATGGCTCAGGCTGCCCACAGAGCCGTTCCCAGCCTTGGACACAGCTCCTGGGCCCATTGCTTCTTATTCTCAACATCTCTGCACTTACCAAAATAACTCCAGTCCCAACAGCCCATTTTGCTATTGGAAAGCATGCACACATTTCTTTCAACTATATGTTTTGATCTCTTTTTAATGGTTCTGTAATAGTCTACTGAATAAAAATAATTCATTTATCCATTCAAGTGTGGTGGGTTTTTTTTTTTTTTTTTTTTTTTTTTTCAGAGTTTAGGACTCAAACCAAGGACTTACGAATGCTAGGTAAGCTTTCTACCACTGAGCTACTCCCTAATCCAGACATATTTTTAAAGACAGTTTGCAACCCTTACCAAATACCTTTTAAAAAATTTATATTATTTTTACTCTATAATCCTATTTCTGCAGCTCAAAACCTAAGGAAATAATCTGTCCGAAACCATAGAGCAAGATGTGTACCACTAGAGTATCACTGAGAAACTAGAAGCCAAATAAACATATGGTAATAGCAAGAAGCCCCTCTGGGTCAGCACAGCCCATGCCACACAGCCTTTTACGTCTGTCCTCAGCTGCAGCTCACGCGGAGCCCTCGGCAGATGTACAGCACTAGCCGTGGCTGGCTGACTGGACCAACATCTGACTGGGGAGCCGGAGGGAGAAGTCAGTTCCTTTCTCTCAGAAACATGAAAGTGGAGTGGAGGGATTCCGAATTAGTGCCTCTTAGGTGCTTTAGATGGAAGATTATTACAAAACCAGAAGGAAAACAGCCCAGCTGGTCCTTACGCAAATGCAACAGAAAGACACAGAAGGAAGAGGAAAACCAAAGAGAAAATGAAATTTAAAAGGAACAAGAGGGAGATGGAGAAGCTGCTGAGGCCTTCGGGGCCCTGTTCCTTTTAGAGATGTTAACCCTGCCCTCCTGCGTTGCTAATCTAGATGAATTCCTTTATCCTTTACTAACATTCTTTTTCTTTTCTTTTTTTTTTTGTTTCAGAACCGGGGTTTGAACTCAGCAGGCCCTTGCGCTTGCCATGCAAGCACTTATTCTACTGAGTCATCTCCCCGGCCCCCTAACATTCAAATAATCTCAAATTTATCAAAATTGATATCAAGAATGGAGATAAGCAATAGAAGTGTCTAGAGAGAATGTGAACACTTAGGTGGAAAGTTATTATTATTTTTTTTCTACTGGTACTAGGAATTCAATCCAGGGCTTTCACTCTGAAATATTTCTCTAGCCTCCTATTTATACTTTATTTTTTATTTTAAAATAGGGCCTCCCTAAGTTGCCTAGACTGGGCTCAAATTTGCAATCCTCCTGCCTTAGCTTTCCAGAGTACTGGGATTACAGGTTTGTGCCACCGCCCTGGCTGGGAAATGTAGATGGGAGGGGAAGTGGCAGCTGGGTTAATGTTTAATAACAGTTTTCAGGTAGGTATGATGACCCACATTTGTAATCTCAGCTACTTAGGAGGCTGAGGCAGGATGATTCCAAAGTTGAACCCAACCTGGGTGACTGAGAGAGATCTCATCTTAAAAATGAAATTAGGGGGCTGGGGAGATGGCTCCGTAGAATAAGTGCTTCCCTGGCAAGCGCAAGGGCCTGAGTTCAATCCCTGGTTCCGGAAAAAAAAAAAAAAAAAAAAAAAGAAAGAAAGAAAGAAATTAAAAGGGCTGGGAGTATAGCTCAGTGGTACAGTTTGTCTAGCATACAGGAGGCTGAGTTTAATAACCTGACAAGGTGGGAATAGGACAGGAGGAAAGGGAGGGGAGACAATTTCTAGGAATGAGGGCAGAAACCCTGATTTGCAGCCTTCACCAGTTTTCACAGTGTCAGCCCTCCACCTCAGACAGTCTCAGGTACCAAGGCAATACCACTCACACAGAAGAGTTATACTGGCTCTCACAGGCTCAACAGACTACTCAGCACACCACTGGGGGTGACAGCAGCGGGCACACAGCACCCCTGGAGGTCACTGCTATGTGGTGACAAAGCAGCCAGTTAAACCACGGTCACTGGTCTCTCGGCATTCAGATCATGTGACCACCAGGTACATGCTGTTCCCAGTCTGGGACTTTCCATCCCCATTCCCGACCATCACAAGAACTTTTTGAGACAAGGGATCATACACTTCAAGTTTAAAAACCAAGGGACTGGACCTTATAAGCTAATCCTTTCTCCCAGAAAAAAGAGCAAACTCTACCCACCCACCTCGTTTGGAAGGACCAAGGCTCCGTCTCCATCCCGTGGGATACCATCCTTCCCCACCTGGGGGAGCATGGTGGCCCTGGCCTCCTCGCTGCCATTGCCTGTCTTGGCTGCCTTCTTGTTCAGGATCCTGGCCATGCCCTCCGGCTGATGGTAGCTGGCTGGGGAGAGGGGCTCTGGCTTCTTGGAGCCCTCCTCCCCTGCTGCTGAGGTGGGGCTTGGTGCCCGGCCACACACATTATGGAAGAATTCTTGCACGAGGCCATATTTGGGTGGCTCAGGCTTGACACGAGCCTCGGACATGCCCAGTTTCCAGACAGATTCTGTGCTCCCTGAGTGCTCTACCACGCTGAAGAGGCTGGACAGCCCATCGTTGATGTTCCGCAGCACGGGGCTGTCCCGAGTAGTGGTGGAGCGGGCCCAGGCCGAGCCATTCTGTTTGCCCTGGTGCAGGTTCCACAGGCTGCGGTCCTTGGTGCTGTCCAGCTTGGACACAGACCGCCTCTGGAGCTTAGGTGAGCCGTACTTGGGTGAGCAGCACGGCCGCTCTATGCGTGAGTGGACCTTGTCCAGGGAGGAGGAGATCTGCTTGCTGCGCACGGACACGAGTGAGGAACTGCGGGGTGACCAGCTCTTGCCGTGGAGGCTGCTGCGTGGCGGGTCAGTCTGCAGGCCCACGCTGACCATGCGGATGGTCTGCGTGCCCACGCTGGCCAGGCCTACCGTCTGGCTGGATGTGCTCTTCTTCACTTTCCTCTCCAGTGAGCCAGAGCGCATGGCCTGCCGCACACAGTTGGTTATCTCCTTCATGTCATCACTCATGTTGCCTGATATCTCAAAGTCATGCAGGGCAGTGGGGAAGGCAGCCCCAGGTGCTGCAGCGCTGCCCCCCGAACCCCCATCCAGACGCTGCCGGGAGAAGTTGCAGAGCCAACGGCCATAGGAGCTGTCGGCCAGCCCATCAGCCTCGGCTGACTCTTTGGGCTTGGCTGTGGTGAAGAGGAAGCCAGGCTCAATGAGGATCTTGCCCTCCTTGTCGTGGACCACAGGCACACCCAAGCGCCGGGCCACTGGGGGGCTGTAGTAGACCCGGATGCCTGTCTTGTCTGGGGCAGTGTAGCTACGCTGCATCTGCCTCCCAGCAGGGTCCTGACAGGCCAGCGTGCCCAAGCGGTTGCAGTCCCTTGAAGAGAGCCCAGTGTTCTCCTTGGATTTTTTCTCTGGATCCATTGGCTCCGGATTCACAAAGGTAAAGGCAGGGCTGCTGGGTAGCTTCTTGCCTCGGGCATCTCCACCAGCAAGGTAAGGGGAGCAGTCGAGCAAACTTTCAAATTCAGACATAGAGGAGACAGATTTGGTCCTGGAAAGGGCAAAAGAGGAAAAGTGGTATTAGTGGAAAATGACACACTGAGCAAGCATGTGATCTACTTCTGTGGAGGGTGCAAACAGGACCAGGGCTGCCTTGCTCCCCTCTGGAAGACACTGTGGGTGCCTCCCTCTCCTCTCTCCCTCCTACTCACATGCTCTGAACACTTGCTATCCTCCACATAACTTGGGGTTTTTTCTCTCTGGCTATGGGTACATAATTGATCTCCAGACAGAGGAGGCTAGAAAGAGCAGTTAATGCCTCTTAACAAACCATGGGCAGGACTTGGTGAAAAGGCACCCCAGCCTCCCAGCACTTGAAGCTAGTTCCCCCAGGTTCTTCAGCAGGATAACTCTGAACTGCATGCTCCTCCCTGGCTCCCAGAGTTCCCAGAGACTGGGGGTCAGCTGCTCACAGAATGGCCTGGTAGAAACTCCTTTTACTGACAGCTCTTTCCCTTCCCTGTCTCTTTCAGGGATTTCCTGCTCTTGAGTGACTTGAGTTCAACACATATCACACCCTAGAGCTCTCCCAGTTCTGAAAAGGGGAAGAAGCAGGCCAGGTGGGCCAGGCTGTGGGCAGGGCAGGAGATGCCAGCACCTCTTTAAGCCGGTTCCCCCAAGCTCAGCTTCAGAAACAGCCTCCTTGTCATGGATCTTCTCATTTCTTGTCTGTTGAAAAAGAAAAGTAGGGTCAGCTCTGGCTCCTGAAGGAATTTCACAGGAGGCCAGTACAGGAGCTAGGTTTGCCCCACCACGCCTACGTCCCCCCATTTGGAAAGCTGAATAATTTCACTGATGATCTCGAATTCCCATTGGTCAGCTTCTGGCCGCACTGCGTCTAACTCTGCTACCCTAGGAATGAGACGTAGGGTAGGGCCGCTGAAGCCCAAAGAGTGACCTCCAAAGGAAGCATGACCATGTAAAACTAATTCCAAATGTGGTGGCAGCAACAAAGCACCCCATGGCCAGCTGTTCAGTTGGTGGTATCAGCAGTGACCATGTGGGTTCTAGAGGCACACAGCCCCTGCAACCTGCATTATCAGTACTCCCAGGATCCTAAGAAAATCCTCAGCATCCCATAGTAGGTGTTTGTTTTTGCATTCAAGTCCCGGAATGATACACCACTTCTCCAGGCTGCCATAGGACCAAACGGACCATGCAAAGGTGCCATCTGGTTATACAGCCATGTTGCTATAGCAACAATGTACTTCAGCCTATGTGCAGATGTCATTAATGTGACCTTATTGGTCTCCACACCCTGGGCTTGGGCCAGGGTAGAAAATTTGATTCTCATTTATCAGTGAGGCAACTGGGGCCCAGAGATGGGGAGTGACATAGCCAAGATCACCAATCAAGATCAGCAATAGCCAGTTAGAGGCCTTGCTTGCCACAGAGGCACAGGTGATATCAAGAGAGGCAGAGGTTTCTCCCAGGAATGGAAGGATGGTCCTGGCAGAGGACTCTTTCCAAGTCACACAGCATACAACCATGGCGTGGAGACACCAGGGATGAGGACCCAAGGAGCCCTGTGGGACAGGGTTAGCATCTTCTGTCATGTCCCCCACAAACAGAACTAAATGTATGGTATAGCCAGAAGCCAAGAGGACATGGGTGGCAGCAAAACCCTCACCTCTTTCCAGCTGTTGTCCTGCTTCTCCAGGTCTGAGTGCTTCAGGACCCAAGGGTCAGCAGCCTTTTGCAGCTGAACAAGGACAAGAAGGGTGAATCAATGGTGGGCAGGGGCTCGATTTGAACACTCTGCTGCCAGAGGACCCACGTCACGGATCATGAGCCAGCTTCTCAGTAGTAGCAGCTCTGAGCCACAAACCAGACGAAATTGGAAAATGGTAACAGGAAGAAGTACTTGCAGGAGTCCTTAGAGGTGTAAGTGTATCTAACAGGACCTCCTGCTATCGCTACATTAATCTACCTCACAGTTCTGGGAACAGACAGATCAGCTACGTAGCACCTACTCCACATCATGGTAGCTCTGGGGAGTCCTTCCCAGTCCTTCACTGCCCAGGAAGTTTATATTTGTAATCCCATGCAAAGTTATTGGTACTCTAGTGAGTTAATTCCAACCTACCACACCCAGTGCAACCCACTGTGAGAATAAAGACACTAAGGCATATTTGTAGTCATGGGGACCCAAAGGGTCCTAAGTCCAGCCATGATCATGGCTATCTGGAACAAAGGCCTCAACCCAGGGACTGAACCCAGGTTTTATTTATTCATGAAGAAAGGAGTGACTTGAGGATAAGTGACTGTGAGTATGGCAGGAAGTAGAGGAGTGCTATGAACTGGGCTAGGTGGGAGGCCTGCATTCACCCCTGCAATATGCAGAGAAGTATGTGAAGAGTAATCTGCATAATACAATTGAGAGAATAGCTAACATTTTTGGTATATGTGCTGCCGAAGCGAGCACAAGCTAACATTTTTGGGTCTGTGCTGCAGCTCTAATGTATAATCTTTTAAGCCTCAGGAAGTCATAGTCTCTATCTCAAGGTTTGATCCCAGCCAACAGTGTGGAGCACTGGCCCTTCATCCTGTCATCCTGGCTCACACAAGGGAACAAGGCAAGGTCTGGGGAAACACTACCTGCCATCTTCAAGGACTACCATCAGCACCTCAGCTGCATGGATATGCACTGCTTAAAGCCAACTGAAGGGATAAGGGAAAGTCCTGGCCAGCTCTGTACCTATCACTACATGGAAACAGGCTCAGGTTCAGCCAATGGAGATAACAGCCAAGGAGAGTCATCCAGGTGGTCCCGCACAGGTGGCAAATATAAACTCCAAGGAAGACAGGCATAGTGACTCATTCCTGTAATCCCAACACTCTGGGAAGCTGAGGCAGGAGAATCCTGTGTTCAAGTCCAGCCTGAGTAACTTAGCAATCTAGCAAGAACCTATGTTCAAAATTTTAAAAAGAGGGCTGGGGATATAGTTTAGTGGGAAGGCCCTGGGCTCAATCTCCAAGACTACAAGAGCAAAAGAAAAAACCAAATATCCAAAGGCTCTGCTGCCACACAGTGGTGGCCATCACCACAGACCCTGGCACTCCTTCCTGCTGGACACAGAGGTGCCTTGGACCCCTGCCCTCTACTGTTTGCTGTTACCTACCTTATGCGTTTCACCCTCACAGAAACCACAGGTGGGGTGGTGTAACTCTGCTTATTTCCATTTCACGGATAAGCAGGTCAAGACTGAGGGAAGGGAGGAAACTTGCCCTAGACTGGGCAGCTAAGTGAGCAATAATGACGGTACCATGGCGTAGCTGTCTCAAGGTAAGGTGCCCCTGCCCCCATCTGTGCTCTGCGTTCATACTTCCAGTGCTACTAAAAAAA